CACTTCATTTTTTTATAATTTGATAATATTTTGTTTTCTATTGTTTAATTTATTATGAATAAACACACTGAGAGGTTATGTTTAGGCTTTATTAAAAAACAATGTAGGGTCACGTGACATGTTATACAGATCTGAAGCTCAAGACCGTTTATTAAGCATGATCTATATCACTAAGCGTTCACTGATCGTTTGCTCAATTGCTTTGCAACTGTTGAAATCTGCTGAACGCGACCATTATCTACGCTGAGATCACGCGAGCTAGCGGTCTAGTGTAGTATATAGAAGTCTGTGCTATACTACTACCAGAGAGAAATCTGAGAGCGGCCATCCTATTGTAATTTTTTACGACGGTTTCAGCCGCTNGTTTTAGCCGTATTTCCACAAAAGTGGAACTCAAAGGCCGTCTTCATTAAACGCAAGAAGCATTTCGTGGAATTGACCAATTGCAGAGTCAAATCAGCCAATCGACCAACGTGATTGATCAATTCCACGAGACCTGCGACTTGAGTTTCATGGAGAACGGTCTTTGAGTTCCACTTTTGTGGAAATACGGCTAAGGCTAATATTACATTTGCCGTACGACAAAGATTTTAAGTATGTTGATTGGTTATCAGATAAAGTTTTATAAAGAACTGTATTTGATAGCCAATCAATATACTTAAAATCTTTGTCGTACGACAAATGTAATACTAGCCTAAAATCAGCGTCTCAAACCGTCGTAAAAAATTACAATAGGATGGCCGCTCTCAGGTTTCTCTCTGGTACTACTAGATCGCTAACTTCGGCAAACAAGGTGAGGCTGGCAGGATATCCGGTTTCGGCCATGACAACCTACAACAAAATGGCTGCTTCCGTTAGTATATGAAATATGGTATATCGTTCTTTTATGGTATTGTTACGTTCTGGACTTCAATGTTGTTGTTTATATGTATAATATATGTAATAATAAAACAGTAACATTATAGTAAAATATACATTTAATTAAGCAAATAGCAATACAGTAAATATGAAGTACAAATATTCGGTATTATTAAATAATATTAATTTGGATAATTTTTGCCGTTTACTTACAGGATTGATGACATCTTTAGTTAAAAATTTGGAATATGAATATAGTCTTATTGTTAAATATTTTCGACAAATTATAGTTATTAATTGTAGACAATGGCCACGTTCAGAAGACTGAGCAGATCAGTGAACGCTTAGTGATTCTTTAATATGATTGAATCTTGCCTTTAGATTTTTTCTGGATCTAAGTGTAAAAACCAATCATATTGAAGAATCACTAAGCGCTCACTAATCTGCTCAGTCTGCTGAACATGATCAATGTGGCGTATCTATTCCTATTTCAAATCCTTCCCCAGTCAGAAATACCTTGTCGAATCGACGTCGATTCGACGTCGATTATACTAGTCGATCGACGGTTGAAATTTGTAGTCGATTCGACTTAAAAA